TAACCTGGAGGTCATCTCTTTTCAAATTAAAGCAAAGGCACGTACAGGTAGGGGGAAAACCTAAATAATGTAACCTGCAGATGCAAAGCAAAGTACTGTATTTTTCGCTCTATACGACGCACCAGACCACAAGACGCACCTAGTTTTTGGAGGAGGAAAACAAGAATAAAAATATTCTGAATCTCAGAAGCCAGAACAGCAAGAGTTATCACTGCGCAGTGAAAGCAGCGATCCCTCTTGCTGTTCTGGCTTCTGGGATAGCTGCGCAGCCTGCATTCGCTCCATAAGACACATTTCCTCTTACTTTTTAGGAGGGAAAAAGTGAGTCTTATAGAGCAAAAAATACGGTAATTTGTGGTGTACAGAGCTTTGCTTGAAAAAGAAGTTTATATACTGGAACTGTAAATAGAAAAGGTACAGCAGTGCAGGTGTGTAGCCACAGTACAGGTGTGGAAAACCTGTGGTGAACTACAACTCCCATCGTCTCTGCCTACTGACCATGTTTGCTGGGACTAATGGGAAGTGAAGTTCAGAAACAACCAGGTTTCCCACACCTGCCACATAGTGCTTGGACTTGTTGCTTAAGACAAGTCGTGCTCCTCCGGGACGCTGCTCACATGCAAAGCAGTAACAAGTGTGCTAAGCTCTCTCGTCTCCACCTCTACGAGTCTTTCAGGTGCCACAAGACCTAAGCAGACCCAAAACTAAAACAAAACCGCCAGACAAAGTTGGCTTTGGATCGCTGAAATTAAACTGGGCTTTGATGAAACTGCATGCTTTCTGGCAAGCCGGAAACTGGGTAAGGGACATGGCTACCAGGAAACAAAACTATCCACAACACAAGAAAGAATACGGTTGTGAGATGGAGATTACATGTTAATAGCAATGATTAACCAACATTAAGGGGGGAAGTATACAGATCACAGGGACGCTGGTGGCGCTGTGGGTTAAACCACAGAGCCTAGGACTTGCCGATCAGAAGGTTGGCGGTTTGAATCCCCGCAACGGGGTGAGCTCCCGTTGCTCAGTCCCTGCTCCTGCCAACCTAGCAGTTTGAAAGCACGTCAAAGTGCAAGTAGATAAATAGGTACCACTCCAGCAGGAAGGTAAACGGTGTTTCCGTGCACTGCTCTGGTTTGCCAGAAGCGGCTTAGTCATGCTGGCCACATGACCCGGAAGCTGTATGCTGGCTCCCTCGGCCAATAAAGTGAGATGAGCACCACAACCCCAGTCGGTCACGACTGGACCTAATGCTCAGGGGTCCCTTTACCTTTCATATAGATCACAACTTAAAAGAGCCGGTCAGGCATTAGGGCAGCCTTTGCAAATCTTGCGTGTTCTGGACTACAACTACCATCAGCAACAGGCAGCATGGTTGTAGTCCAACAAAACATCTGGACAGCATCAGGTCGGCAAAGGATGGATTAGGGAAAAGTGGAAGCGCTAAATTGTCTCTCTCTTTCCCTCTTTCTGGAAAGCGGCAGCAGATTATGACTCACGGAGCAGAATGATGCATTTTTCTCTACATACCTTTTTAAAAAGTATCTTTCTGTGAATGCTGAAAATCCAGGCAAGTGGTCTATAATAACCCTAGGGTGAAACAAGGCCTTGGTCCTCTAGAACAGGGGTCAGCAAACTTTTTCAGCAGGGGGACGCTCCACTGTCCCTCAGACCTTGTTGGGGGGGGGGGGCAAACTACCGTATTTTTTGCACTATAACACTCACTTTTTTCCTCCTAGAAAGTAAGGGGAAATGTCTGTGCGTGTTATGGAGGAAATGCCTACGGGTGGCATGCCTACGGATTTTCCTCCTCTAAAAACTATGTGCGTGTTATGGTCGGGTGCGTGTTATAGAGCGAAAAATACGGTATATATATTTTTTTGGGGGGGAGGGACAAATTCCTATGACCCACAAATAACCCAGAGATGCATTTTAAATAAAAGCACATATTCTACTCATGTAAAAACACCAGGCAGGCCCCACTAATAACCCAGAGATGCATTTTAAATAAAAGGACACATTCTACTCATATAAAAACATGCTGATTCCCAGATTGTCCACGGGCCAGATTTAGAAAGTGATTGGGCCAGATTCGGCCCCTGGGCCTTAGTTTGCCTACCCATGCACTAGAACAGTCTTTCCCATCACCCCCAGCTGACAGGAACCAGTGGTCAGGGACGATGGGAGTTGTAGTCCAACAACATCCGAGGACCCAAGGTTGAGAAAGGCTGCACTAGAAGGAAGCACTACAGCCAGCTCTATAGCACCCCAGAGACATGCCTGGAAGCAGCTACAGCCATTTGGGCCAATGCCCTGTGGAATTAAAAAAAACAACTACGGTTTGTCGGCAGTTTTGCAGAAACGCTAATATTTGCTGATTTGCCGTTCCTGTTTTAAAGGCTTGGCTGAGAAAAAGAGCAGAGTGCATTCTGCTAGGGCATTTTAAATGGCCATCTCAGCAACATTATTTGACAGCTTCCTTAAGAGTGCATCTTGCAGGACAAATTGTTTTCCCCACCTATACCCTCCAACACCAGCCATTTCACATCATTTAGCCTTCCTCCACATAGTGCACCATCTCATGCCACCACTGTGGGAGAAATCATGGGGCTGTTTGATCTTAAGCCACCAGATGTCTCTTCTTAAATATCTCCCTGCCCAGGGCAGTCTGCAAGCCAGTCTCTTGGCAGGCTTAGAATGCAGCACATTCCAAGGGAAGACTGGACGAAGGACTACCAAAAAATAATTCCCTGCAGAGATATAAAAGGGGCTTCTAATGGTTTAATGTTGTATTTTAATCTTTTTTATTTTATATTTTAATCAACTTGTTTTTATTATTGGCTGTTAGCCGCCCTGAGCCCGGTCTTGGTGGGGAGGGCGTGGTATAAATAAAATTTTATTATTATTATTATTATTATTATTATTATTATTATTATTCAAAAAGGATTCACCTATTGCAGGAACTTCTCTCCTACTTGATCAGTTCTTACCAACTCCAAACAATAGCCTGAGATGCGGATTTTTTCTTTTCCCCTATGTGAGGATGATGGCTTTTAAACTGAATACAAATCCACCACTGCAAAATATCAAAATGCATGAAAAGGCAGGGACAAGGGAGAATAAAACAGGCCACACCTCACAGTATATAGATCCTCGGGATGCCTCAGCAAACAAAATGCTGTGGCTTAAAAGCTGATTTGGAGAGGCATGCCAATCAGCAATCTCTGTGATGCAGGATCCTTCCTTTAGATCAGGTACTGAGCTTTCAAAAATGGTCATGATGCATAATTTGTACTTGCGTCAGCTTATTCCATGCACCGCAGGATCTCAGGTCTAACATGGACTAACAGAAATTGTAGCAGCAGCCCAGTGCAGTCAACTGGACTGAGTTCATGACCATTCTGCCATGAAGTTTGATGGGTAACTCTAGATAACTGTCATCTGTCCAAAGCTCTTCAAGAAAGAGTAAGATACAAATATTAGAGCTGTGCAATGTAAGCTATGTTGCCACCCTGTACTTCGAATTCTGTGAAGGAAGCACAGAACACGCTGATCACACATGGATGAAATTTTCTCCAATTCGGATTTCATTGGCTCCAGATTGATTAAAATGACAAAAAGGAAAAGCAGGCTACTGCTCTGAGCTAGTTGCACTTCTGTATTAAGCAGATATAACACTGAGTTATACCTTGGTTTTTACATATCTAATTCTTCTACGTTTAAGTGTTTGGATGCATGGGGCCTCCTCGCATGATGAAACTACGAATTTCAGGCACTGAACTATTTCAGTAGCTGAAACTCATTGTATACTTTAAAAAAACAAACTGCTTAGGTGCACGTCTGAACAAACATTAACCACAGGGGCGAAATGATGCCTGTAGAAATGAATGAAAACTTGTGCTTCCAGCCCAATTTTGTTTAATGAATAGGTAGAATTGTGTAAAAAGCTACAATATAATAGGAGTTTGATATAGGCCAACGGTATAGGTCAGAACTCATGTTCTGTAAACCACAAGATGTGGAACCAACTCTAGCACATACTGAATTCAACAATGTGGACTACTGTAAATGTAGCTTGGTATTATTAATGTTCAGAACTCATTGGTAGATCTAAACTGTAATGGTCAGAAATTTAATGCTGTCCAAAGTTAAGAAAAATATACAGAGCAGTATGGATGTGAAGCAAAAAGCAAAGGAACAAAATATTAACACCTTACAGGTAAATTTGGGACCATCATATTACTTTATTTCGTCAGCAGAGGCATCCACTCCTCCCCTCCAAGTTAGGGAAATAAATAGCACACAATTCTTCAAAACTTTGCTGCATTGCCCCCTGAGGTGTTCTAAAAAATTTTTGTTAGCATTTTTTAAAAGTTGCAAAAACGAAAAGTGTCTTTTTTTGCAGACGAATGAACAAGAGTGAGCAAGCGCCTTTGCTAGAATATGTGGTGCATTGATTATATGGATTTAATCTCATTTTGGTATACATAGAATAGCAGTGTATTTAGCAGGCATAACTAACACAGTGCTTTGACCCCTTCAAAGTGCCAAATGTAAGGGAGGGGGGGCTCTACAACTGCTGTGCCTCTTTTTTACCCCCCCCCAACCCCTTTCTTAGCACTAGTAGAAACAGCAGAAGAATTGTGTTTTTGTAGGTTTAAAGGGTGCACCTGTGGTATGTTTTAAACATACACTATGTCATTATGACATTTAAATTATGGTTTTAACATATGGCTTTCCACTTGTGATTTATAAAATATTTTAAACTTTTAAGTTTCCACAGCATAGCCTGAAGTTCTGCAAAAAAAAAATATTTTTTTTTAAAAAAAGAACTGCACTTCAGTTTGCACAGAAAAAGGAGCAGTTATCTTACCAATCCTGGAACCACATTAACATTCTTTACTATCTGACCTTGTAGTATTTTAAATACAGGTCTCTGAAGTAGGTTCTCGTGATCCCTATACGTTTGACATCTTTATAGTCTGAACTCAACAAAACTGTACATTTTAACCATTTATTTGTATGTAGGGGGAAGGATTGGTTCTTTAACCCAAAATCGCTATAAATTTATAAATACAAATAGTGCTTATGTTTTTCTTCATGCTTTAACAGGGTACAAACTGATTACAATGATGTCAAGGTTAAGCACCTCACACAAACAAGAGGAATAAAATAAAAGTGTTTGCTGGTATAATGCTATCCTTAGTTGAGACATTATTAAGTTACTTTTTCACTGTTCAACACTGTTCAACACTCCCTAACTCTGCAACAGTTTTAAGGCTATATATACACACAAATGTATATTTCCAAGTTAGGGGGGGAAAGACAGATATAGAAAAACGCATTGTACATTGCTTCCTATAAAAAGGTATATTTTACACCTTTTTAAAAAAATTTCTAGCTACATTGCTACAACCTATTTATATATTTTGTTGATTTTCCTTTGGAGGGGGAATCTGTTGACTGAAAGATTAAAGAAAGCTACATATTGATCATACAATATTCTCAACATAAAAAGGGACAAAATACAAGGTGCACGAAACAGTAGTTCTGCAAACACGACTGATTTGAAAAGTTATCTTTGAATGTTCAATAGGAGAAAAGTCAAATTAGTTTTATTACTTTTATGATTTTTTAAGAATTAAAATTTAATCTCAACAGTTAAATATTCTGAACATGCTGTATTTCAAATCTCACATTCTGTTAAAACACTAGTTTTTGTTCTAAGTCAACGGGGCCATATAAAACATACCATAAAAAGTAAGATTGTCAGACTCTGACAAATGAGTTTTCATTAACAAGAGGCAAGTATAACTTCACATGATTCTCTCAAAGCAAAAATCTTGAAAGAAACTCATGGGGGGGAAATTTTCATTTCTGAAACCATATTACGCCTGCTAACTGGGGGAAAATATCCACCTGTGCCTTGGGCAACAGTCAAGAGTTTTTCCCATTTCATAAATGGGCAATTAGTTAATAAAAAATATTTATCCACATGACATCTCATTTACAAGCATTTCAAAAGACAAGGGAGAAAGTAGTTACACATATATTGTTAAATTTTGTTGTTTGTTAAATCAATCTTTATTGATATAATGGAATTCAAAGTATTTTACTTGGAACAGCAGCCAACCCAGCCAATCAGGATGATAAGAACGCTGCAGGCTTATACTAAATAAAGACATAGCCGCTTACATAACTGAAAATTAACTGAAGGTAAAGATTTTTTTAAAGGTGCAAATAATCAAGGCATTTTAACCCCCATGATCGATATTTCACTGCCATGTTGCAAGGTTGGCAAACCTGTCCCATTTGTTCACTGAACTTCCCATATATTTCAATAGGATTTTTAGATCCCGCAGGAATTATTTTATTTTTTCAATCGAACAACTAAAAGTTCGATGGAGAATGAACTGTTTTATCAGTTATTTTCCATACTAGAATCGCAATGATCTGCCTTTATATAAAATAGCCTTTACACAATTTCTATGTACCTCCTGAGCGCTTAGCTGGCGAGGTTGCTGCTCCCAGGAACCCAGAACCACAAATGTGAATGGAAAAGGGCTAGATTACTGTTGTTCAAAGCAACAAACCAAGCATTTAATCTAACCTTAATCGATGTAAAGCAGTTCATCATTAAATAAGCATTTTGTACAACCACAATTGCACTTTACAAAACAAAAATCATACAACATAAAATTGCTCAGAGTCCAATTTACAACATATTGGTTTCAATATCACTTTTACAGAAGTCTGTTTTGCAATAGAAAACGAAAAGGGGAAAAAAAGATCATCAGTTCCTGGGCTAGGTGTTGGGACTGCAGCTTCCAGGTGTCATCACTTTCACCAACACATCTTTTCCCCTTCAAGTAAGGTGGAAGATGGATGTTAGGAAGGGTCGCTGTGGGTAGGGTGCAATTTCCATCAGGATGGATGTAAACTCCACAGCTTAGATGGCAGTTTTACCACATATCATCGGTTGATGCAGAGTCCTTAAAGAAAAGAGAAGGAACCCTTTAAAGTCTGGAGCGCCCAAAATTACAGCAGTTTCTGGATAATCCAGACTGAAAAGGGTAGATACGGCGATAATTTTAGGATTCAGGTGTTCTTTACGTTCTGAAGAGCTTTACTCTGGGAACAGCAATTTATGAGCATTTAACAAGGTAAGATACCTAGTACACAAAAGCTATTTAGGTCAGCCCTCCCTTGTAAATTGTTTAACATAAAAGCAGACTATTTTCAGGTGTCAAGAGTTACATTTTCGGCTTCTGCTTTAAACTAAAAGTTATTCACACATGTTCTCCTACAGTTTTTCAGTTTTCCTACCCAATAAGGCAAGCTAGAAAGCAGGTTTCAGTGAAATGAACAGAACATCCTTTGAATTTAAAATCTTGGTACTCTACTCACATAATTAGAAGTATCTTTTTAGATGCTATTAATATAAAACAGATATTGTCCAACTGTCATTCACCTCTTTTCCTTAGTCATATTTAAATACCGAACAAGGCATTTCTGTGCCACATGCCAGTTCTGTGGAGATGAAGAATGGCTTGACTCACCAGATGCAAGACATCACCTGGGTGCTAAAGTAAGCAGCAGCGTCAGGTATTCAGTATCTGATGTAACTCAGCACTTCATAATCACAGTACTGACATGCAGTACTACTACACTCTATTTCTCCAGATAAAGATGGATTTTTCTACTCCTCTGGCATTAGAAAGCAAAGCGTTAAGAGATTTAAGTTTTCTAGAAATGTTGAAAGTAGCTAGGGGAAATGCAAATTAAAAAAACAGAGGCAAGAAATGCTTATTTTCAGATAACTTTTAGTATGTTTTATGTATAACGATGCAAATTAAATTGCAGGGTTTGATATGTTTACTGAACCCAAAGGCACCTAAACATCTTGGATTTTGTGAAAACAGGGACTCTGGCTTTAATCTCCCCCACCCCGAAATCTTCAGCTGTGCAGGACTTCAACTGTGTTTAGGTTCCCTGAACCCTAATTTCGGCTTGTCATTGTGTTGAAACCACAGTTAATAACAATCTTCGGCTAATTTAACAAACCAGCTTCATAACTTGTGGTTTGAAGTTGGCTGGATGTTCAAGCCAATTTGCTACAAATCACGTGGCCAAGTTAAAGGCCAAAGCCTTCTTGCCTGTCCACTCAAGGAGGTGGTGTGACATGAAAACACTATCACGGTAACCACCAACTTCAAAAATGGTCTCTTCCCGTGCATTTCCCTACTCCTTGCCTTCTCTCACACAGCTGGGGGAGAATTAAGAGATTTTGCTTTCCATTTGGACCAATTTGGGATTGCTAAGTCTTCTAGCATGGCAAATTGAGTTTGGCACTAGCTATGGTGGATTTCAGACAAGCAACGTTCAAACCAGTGTTTCTAAAACAGGCTCATTTAGACGGATCACATTGGTGTGAACCACATATTTGTCTCCAAATGACATAGCAAACATTAGCTGGCTTAGTGAAGGCTTCTGTGGTCATCTTCCCAGCCACATGGGACAGGGAGAGGAGAGTGCATGTTCCTAAATCATGTCCCACTAAACCAGATACGGGAACCTTTTGGCCTACAAATGTCACTGAATTACAACTTTCATCAACCCTGGCCATTCTTGCTAGGGCTGGTAGGAGTTGCAGTTCAGCTACATCTGGAGGACCAAAGATTCACCACTCCTGCATACTGCACCCCAATGCAGTCAGCAACTAAGGAAGGGTGGCTATATGAATAGCCTGGGGCACCCAGCTGTCACTTTCTAAAGAACATGACTTTCTAAAGAACTAAAGAACATGACTTTGAACATGCCACTTTCTAAAGAACAAGACTTAGGCTCTTAAATCAGGTGGCATTTTTGTGTTGGTAAAATACGGCATTATTAGTATTTTGCACGCATCTACATTTGTCAAGATGTCCTGGCTGAATAATTGTAAGCAATCATTTTGAATGTTGCTGACCTAGAAAAAGGTTATGGTGTCATTCCAATTATTAACAGGATTTTCTTTACACTTCTGAATCTTGAGGTTGCTCACTTTTGATGCTTCTGTATACAGTATACTGACATTCAAGAGAAGCCAACTGGGAAACTGGAGATTATCTTGCACAGCAGTCAAGTCATTTCAGTTTGGTTGGCATCCTCCATACCAGAAATGACAGAAATATATCTATTTCACCTTTTAAGATATTTAAAAGCCTTGTGTTGGAAGTTGGCAAATTAGAAAGGCTTATACTATGCATAAAAAGCCCTCCAGTAACACACCATCCAGCAAGAATCTTCCAGTGCTTTTAAGATGAGTTCTCCAAAGAGGCAAGTCACTCAAAAGCACAACGCATGACCAGCCCAAGCAACCTAATTTCCTCCACTGACTCCATTTTGTCTACCCAGTTACATTTAGCCTGGTGCAAAATGCAATGAGGATGTGCTCACCCGTGCAGTCTGAATTAAAGTACTTAATCTAGGACCCTCGTACCTACGGGACCGCCTCTCCTGGTATGCCCCGTGAAAGACCTTAAGGTCTGAAATAGCAACACCCTAGAGGTCCCGGGCCCTAAGGAAGTCAAATTAGCCTCAACCAGGGCCAGGGCCTTTTCAACACTGGCTCCGGCCTGGTGGAACGCTCTGTCTCATGAGACCAGGGCCCTGCAGGATCTGATTTCTTTCCACAGGGCCTGTAAGACACCTGGCCTTTGGCTTGGAATCAGCCTGATCCCCTCCCCCTCTTTCCTTTTCCTTCTGTGATGGAACCCCTATTTGGGGACTTCCCTGGCTTTTTTCTGGCTCATGTAGGACCAGTCTGGATAGTTGGCCTTGGAGAAGATTTGACGTTTTCTCCCCCCAAACAGTTTTTGATCAGGGCTTCCACTGAAATGAGGCTGCATTTTAAGTTGTATTTTAACCCTGTTTTTAAGTTGTATTTTAATCAACTGTTTTTATACCTGATGTTAGCCGCCCTGAGCCCGGTCTTGGCCAGGGAGGGTGGGGTATAAATAAAATTTATTATTATTGTTATCGTTATCATCATCATCATCATCCTGGATTTGGTTTCTCTGCTGGCTGCCAGCCTCACACCATAACCTTGTTTCTATTGCTCTGCCCTTTATTCTCCCTCTTCTGCTTTTTCTGGCCTCTGCAAAGTGCACCAAATACAGCGTGATAAGCTACCTTAGTCATACTCAAAGCAGTCTCACTGAAATCAGTGGATTTAAGTAACTGAACCCATCCATTTCAGTGGTTCTATTCCTTGTACAACTTAGCTGAGCATCACCACTGCCATGATACAAAGAAAACCCTTCTGTAGAATTATGTACGAAAGTTATGCACTGCATTAGAAATGTGCTCCTTTGATGTAAAATAAATGAGGACTTTGATGAGACCATGTGTGGCCACAAAAATGAGTAAAAAAAAAAAAAGTAGTTCTGAGTATTAGAGACTTCTCAACCTGTCCCCACTACCAGGCAAAACAGGCACAAAATTGTATGTAATGTTATGTAATGTGAAGGAGATTATGCGTTGAAATATTTTAGTTGATATTTTAGAATGTAAAATGCTATTTTATTTATTGATTGGTTTTACCTTGTGGGCTTATAGCCGAATAAAGTATTATCTATCTATCTATCAACCTGTCCCCACTACCAGGCAAAACAGGCACAAAAAGTCAAGAGTGAAAGGTTAACGATTGTGTAGATGCCACCCATATGCATGAATGCAGAGCTAAAAATGTTTTCCTTTCAACTCCCCAAGAACCTTTCTACAAGTGGGAAGGGCAGTGTGCATGTGAGGTGTGTTATGTGCCAAGGAAATAGCAAAAAAAGTGCAAGCACATGTTTGAGACAGAAGATGGGGTGCGTGTGAAAATGAAGCAGAAGAGTTGTGAAAATTAAGTGGTGAAACAAAAATGCCAAGATTTTCAGTGTATTAGTCACACAGCACTGCCCACGGAATAATTCAATTATGAGATGGGGGGAAGCTAATGGCTTGTCCACCAATGCTGAAGCCACAGCAAGAACAAACTGGGTAGCCCAACTTGACACAACAGGCACCAATTCCACTTCAGACAGCCAAAATACATTGCCATTCACATGCAACAAAATGTTTCTTTCTGCAAGCATTTTTACAGCTACAATTCAAATGGAAGGCAGCTGTGCATTGGGACCCCCAATATCAGTGATAAACAGGTCTCACAAATCTGGATTTCTTTTTTTGCTTTAATGAACACAATACATTTTAAGCACTGAAAAAGCAATCTTTCAACTAAACTTGTGAAAATGGTCAGTAAGGACAGGCTGACGGGATGACAGGCTGGACAGCACTAATACTCACAGCATCATCATTTCTATAAGGATTCAGTCTGTTATAAACTGCTTCAATCACACTCCGTCTAAAAAAAAAAAAAGGTTTTAAAGATCAGCATTTTCCAAAGGACAATTGTCATCTGAAAACAGATTCTCAAAATAGAAATACCTTTAAAAAAGGAAAAAAGGAAAGGAAACCCTTATTTATATATATATAAAATGTGTGCCATCTTTCTGCAAACTGACATTCAAGGTAGTTTACCAGAATTCCGTAAGACCATCAACACCCATAACAGAAAACACATCATTATACAGAAATAGGTAAAAGCAGCAGCTCAACCATTTTAATAGTAGCCAGTTGACTATCAGCAGACCAAACTAGGTAGGACAAGCACAGCGAAACAAAACAAACACTACAGCAAATTGAACCAAACTACTGGAACTACTTACCAAAATCCCAAATAAGGAAAGCAACATTTATTTTAAAAGAATTAATCAAGTACCAGAGAATGTCAGCAGAATGAGAGGGCCAAGGACCAAAGCATAGCACAACTAGTTATCTGCACCCAGTAGGGCTTGAATTCCCAGCAGCCCCAATACAATTATGAAAATCCCATGCTCAAGCAACTGGGCATGTCTTGAAAAAGGGTTTGAATCCCAGTAAAGATGTGGATGGAATTCCCAATAATACCCTTCAGTACAGGAAAAACGGGGGCTTCAGCAAGGGCTCATCCAGACAGAAAATTCCCACAGATGGTTTGGAACTTTACTGCCAAACTAAGATGAACAGAAAGAACGCCTAACAGAGATGCAAGATTTAACACTCTCAATTCATCTCTGGTTCAATTGTAGTCAAAATATCCTGTATCTCCATGCCCAATAGCCTAACATCTAAAATTGTCAGAATGAAGAACGATTTGACATTACAGCCTTGATTATGTTGTAATACTAGACCTTTTTATTTAATTACATTTTAATCCACTTTTCTACCAAAAGATAAATTCAAGAAAACTAAGAATTAAAGACTCCTTGATTTTCTTCAAAATATTAACAGGTTAGGTTCAAAGCTACCAAATTACAAAAAAACCTAAAATTGTAACAGTTCAAAATGGAGCAGACAATAGCATTTAAACCCCATTTTGAGAAGCGGTGTCTAAGCCGCAGCCTTTCTCAACCTGTGGGTCCCCAGATGTTGTTGAATTACAACTCCCATCACCCCTAGCGAGCAAGGCCAGAGCTCAGGGATGATGGGAATTGTAGTCCAACAACATCTGGGGACCCACAGGTTGAGAACCACTGGGAGAGATAGCTGCTTATTGAAAGGCAGGCCTTCCACGGCCTCAGTACCAGTACAAAAAAGACCCCCACCATTTGTGTCCACACACACATCTGACAGTGGATGGACAAAGGGCACAGTCTCATCAAATGATCTTATGGATGCAATGACTTCATGTGAGAAGAAGCAATTCTTAAAGATACTCTGATCCCAAACTATTTAGTCATAAAGCAGTGTTTGAATTGACCCTGGAAGCAGATTGGCAACTGATGCAGCCTGCATGGTATCAGAAGTTTTGATGCGTTACCATCCAAGAAAGGCAACTATGACTTGGTGAAAATGCAATACCATAAAAACCAGCATTATACATATCAAATAAAAACTAATTTGTTTAAGCCAGTCAAAACATATAAATATAAATACCTAAACCATTAGAATCACACACTTAGAAAGATTTAAAAGTGGTAAATATTCAAGAACTTCAGTTAAAGGATGAGGCCACTCTTAAAAATAGCCTGACCTTTCTTCAGCTGTGGTATGACACAGGTTTACTTTTAATTTTAGAATCCACCTCCCAGTCTGCCACAGGGTATCACGCATGCCTTCATTTCCATATTTAATATAATTCCAAATTTGAAAGAAAAGGTTAGGGCTAATAGTCATAATGCCCCTTCAAAATTATTTTGGTGCCCCTCCCTTTTTAAGAGTGGCCTTATTGAAAGAATTTTAAATCAACAGCAGATTTACGCGGGTGTAAACTCACTTGCTTGCCAATTCACCCCCTGGTGGAAGGTTTGGGATGCTCTCTGTTTGTAAAGTACGCATGACGTGGACTAAGTCTGGCACTCCTTCGCCCTGCTTCTTTATGATCTCTGGGAATCAGAAGTACTTTCTTTGTAAATTCAGTCCAAATGCAATTGAAAAGATTTCAACATTTTACTTTATATAAGATAGACTAAGATTGCAAAACCTTTGTCATATTGAGTATTGTATTTACAGTGTCTCTTGTACCATAACAAAATAAGCAGGCTGGATAAAACAGTTCTGCATTGGCATCTTTGCCGTGTATTTCCTACAATAAAACTTTTGGAAGCATACAATATATTAGTCTCATTAGATCATTATCTTAAAATATCAATGATACTCTAGTAGTACATTGTAAGGGAGCTTGCTCTAAAAGAGCACTGAGATCTTACGTGCTTATACTGCCTGAGAAGAAAACAAATTAGTTATAAATTGAGTTCACAGAAAAATGTAACAACCATTTTTAGTAAATGAAAATGATACACTCCAACAGACCAATTTAAGAGTTTTATAAACTGAAATATGAAAACATGAGTGACATGATAGGAAACATACTATCTTGAATAAAAATAGAGTTGTGAAACAACAAAAGATGAACTGCATAGCCTCTGTAGGGAAACAATGCTCAAACTAATTTGCGCAATACTTAAACCCCATTGTATGAATTGTTGAAATAATCAAGAATCTGATTTCAGCTGCAGCATCATTTACTTTCAAGCAGTATTTGAACACCGAATATTTGAACACTTCAAACTTCTCAATCCATCTTCAAATCAATTAACAGATAATCTGCATTATTCAGAGAACATCAGGTGCCAAGATTTAAAAATCTCATTAATGTAACAAGTCATAGGTCAGATTTTCAAACGTGTTTTAGACCACCAACTTAGGTTCTTTGTTGATTTATAAAATAGAACTATTAAAACTGACAATATTAGGATATGAATATTTGCCTTTGAACATGTCACACCACTGGTCCATTTAACCCAGCAACATTCTTCACTGAAAGTGGCTCTTCAAGGTCTCAAGCTCAGGTTTTTTTCTACTTTGCTACCTGACAGTATTTAACTGATGACATTAGAGGGATCAAGCTTGGAAACTTTCACTTGCAAAGATTTCATTTTGCAATCCAATAAACACCCATGATTATAATGGATGCTTTATTAAGCATACAATAGCTTTAATTAAAGTAGCAGTTTGGTATATTGGCCAGCACACTTGAGATTTCATGAAAACACCTGTAAAATGAGCTTGATGAGAAGTGCAGTTTTCTCAAAACTGCATGTTATATAATCAATGTTATATCAATTTTAATTTACCCAAAATAAAATAAGGAATGTTGTGCTACCAAATTTAACTTTTTCAGTCTATAACAGCAGGCCACATGCAGACAATATGACACAAGAACACAGCTAGTGGAACAGGAGCACAAAAACAGATTTTCAGTAACCTTTCAGTCCCTGCAAGTTTTAGCTCAATTTGTAGGCTTAATATATAGTAGCCGATAGCAAATAGTCAGGGGAAAGTCTTGACAGCTGTCAAAGTACATAGATATCAAATTTAATTCCCTATAAATGCTTCTCTCTTTTTTTCCTTTTAAAGAAAGATTAGTGAATAGTGGCCAGGATCTGAAGAGCTGCTTAGGCAAAAGCAAGGCGCTGGGCACTAACCCACTGAAACCATCTATTCTCTTCTCCAAGGCCCACATGTCCATCACAAAAGCAGACTTCTTGGGGAGGGGGGACAAGTTCCCTTGATATCCCATTGATAGCTGCACAGTTCTATGGATCCTGGACAGTATTTCAGAGCAAATACTTTACTTGTTGTTTTGGCTAAACATTTTGAAGGTGAAGTACTAAGGCCAGAATCTGTATTTTACCATCAACTATTTATGACAAAGGCTTCTAATACTGAAACTGAATAAAGAGCAAAGATATCAGATTTATTTTGCCAAGTTCTTTTATTGTGAATTGTGAACATCTAGTATAGTCTACATCATTCTAATGCTATGTTATGTTTTGTACAAAAATAAAGGGATTAAAATTTATCTGAACTACACAGTTCAATAACCTAAAGCTACAGTACATTTAAAATACATTCTCCACTAAAATACATTTATACTCAATAGAAATATATGTACAATCCACAAATTATTTATGGCACAAATGGAACCAATCTGTTGGCCTTCATCTTGCAATATCTTTTTTGTGTCCATGCATATTGTAGCTTCTCATTAACTTAAAACACTTTCTCAAACTGCAGCACAAGAAGATTAATGAAAGACAGATGAATAGTGTTGACTTCAACTGCTCTTATCTAAAAGGAGGTTGTGGTTTTAGAAGTCTGAAAAACACTGTATTTCTATACTTGTGGGAACATGTTCTTGCATCCAGATCTACTTACTTCCGTCTCCTAAATGAGAGAAAATATCTATACTGAAACATGTGTTTTACTGAAGATATATAGTCTACACCAAGGTGATCACACTCAATTAATTCATTGAAACACAGACATTTAAATAGTTATAATAGTCGACATACACCTATTACAAAACGTATTTCAAAACAGTTTCCCCACCCAATCCTTGAAGTGCTGCATCTGTGCAAGCTCCACAAAAATTAACAATAGCTTGCACCGATGGAGCAGCTTAAGGATCTTAGTAATGAAAAGTTGAGGGTTTTTGTTTTGAAGAGCTGGGCTAGTCCCACAGGGTTGGATCCAGACCTGCTGTCCCATGAAATGAAGAGCTCCCTTTCATTTGCAGAAGTGAGTTGGGTCCAATGGAGGTTCCTACTCAACAAACTGGACACTCCAATGGGAAGGCAGTGGGGAGAAATTTCCATCAATTACCCCTCCCCCCCCATGCGGCCCCACACACTCTATTGTAGGTTTTTTTGGTGTGTTTTTTTTTTGTGGCATACCAGAATGCCAATCGGGGTGGGGGGTGGGGATGGAGTTCACTTCTATCTTTATCTGCCTGCAGGAGCATACAGTGTATGGAACTGAACTCTGTGCAACTCCAGATCCAACTCATTGTCTGTAATCCTTGAAGCATTTTTTTGGAATAAACTTTTCAAATACGTAGTTTATATTGCAAGTTGCAGGTGGGATTAGTTACTACACAATTACAGCTGAAATTGTTTGACATTGATATAAAATAGATTAGAACAGACAGCAGAATTCATAACTGCCATATTTGTTTTCCCTAAACTAGTCACCAACATAGCTCCTTCGCAAAAAGAAACAAAATTGAATGGTGAAATTAAGTATTTTTCCTAGTACGTTGGGTCAAAAGTACAAGCTCTTAAGCCTGGTCGGGCTGTAAATTAAAATGTGACCAATCTTCTCACTTGATTTACACCATTTCAGTAGCCATATAATGGTAATACTGTTTTCAGCTACCATTTTTAAAATTTCAATTTGATCTGTACAATGCAAAATTGCTTACAGACAGGCCTGTGCAGAGCTTTTCTGAGGCCTGGGGCTGAAGTCTTGTTAGAATAAAGTTATAAACTCAAACAAAAAAGCAGTCAGTCCCTGGTGGGGGCCCCTGGCCAGCTTAGCTCTCACCCAGGGTCTCCCCCCCCCCTTTGCACAGGCCTGCTTACAGATCTTCATTATACAGGTCCATTTTAAAATTATAATTCCAGTTTCAAAAACACTAATTTAGGGCATTTTAGGGAGATTGCAGAAACAGGTTATTAAGCACAGTTTGAATTATGCAACAGTTACATATTCAGTTCTATTTTCTTGTGAATTTATTCAACCAAGTAGTTCCGTTAGCGCAAGAACTGTGCAATAGAACTAGCCCCCGCGTCCCCTTCACAGCATGTTCACCCCAACCCTCCAAAACAGTTTGGGAGTCAGTACAGAGGGAGGAGTAGGGGGAAGTTCTTTTGTGCAAACGGAAAATCTTACATATATGGAACTACTTTGTTGGATGTTGAACATAACCAGAAGACACTGGGTTGTAATCCAAAACTGTATGAGAGGAAGGAAACTTGTGCCACGGATCATTCCCTCCCGCCCAAGAGCCTCACTTGAGGGCTGGAGGACCTATCAAATTTTGCAGGCTGTGTCATGTCCGGGGCAGCAGTATTTGAGGAAGGGGGGAATTGCCTGAAAGCTGATTCCTTTCACTGCAGCTCCAGATACAGTCTACCAAAGAGGCTTTCTGGGGGAAAGGGGTACAAGGGACTGCAGGGGGGAAGAGGTAAAAAGAAAGATACAACTATAGAGTTGGCAGGGGACTCAAAGTTAGTTTATTCAACACTGATACCAGAAACCCATTACCAGAGAACAATGGGACATGTTGCCTTCCACTCACAGCACACTGAATAGAAACAGGCATGCCTGAAACTTTGACAGTTTCCAGTTCAGAACTGGTCCCAAGAATGCCTAAATTGATCTTTAACACATCTCAGTTTTTAAAAGTAGGATAGGGGAAATCATGCAAGAAAATGTAAATGACAACACTGTATTAACCGGCAGCTCCCTTTAAGACTGCTCTTGCGCCAAATCCCCAAACTGCTTTTTGAACTCAGGAAAATTCAAAGAGCAATTCAAGAGTTCCGAAGGGGACTAAACAGAAAATCTTCAAAATGCTGAGGTATATTCACACTGCCCTTTGGATCGCAGCTATGGCATCTATTCACAAATTAAAAGTCTAGCTAATTCCACTTACACAAAGAAAGAACTGTAAGGTCAAGTTTAATTTATGAACATGGATTTTGTTACACACACACACTCATCAGTGAAATGGTTTCAGTCATATGGGATGATATCAAAATAAGCTTATGCATACAAAGTGCTTCCACACTTATAGATGAGGACAGATGATTTTCCTTTCTTGCTGTAGCTCCTCCTATCTATCAAATACTGCTTGGATGCCCAAACCTTCCTAAGCAACTTTTCAGGAGGGGCAAAGAGCTGCAGTAGAACAAGCCTTTTTTTTGCAAAATTCTGGTGCAGTTTTGCCACACTTTACTTTGGTTCCCAAGGATGAAAAAGTGTGGACAAACAAGAAAACACAAGTATTATTTTCTAATGCCTCTTCTCATTTAATCTATTAAATATTGATGAACATCTTACTAGGTCATTACAAACATAACATTCCTTGCCCCCAGTTACCTTCTGAATATGATATATGCCACAATTTGTAACATTCATGGAAAGTGACTCCAAAACATGAATATCAGTGGCCACTAACTGCAATTCTCCCAGTGTAAAGAGAATGTGCTATAATAGGAGCATAATAAGAATTACATCACTACCACTACTGAGCATTGGAATAAAACTTTCAAGAGTTCAAAGTGCTTCACATTCATAATCTTGCCGTATTTCTTACAACCACCCCAAAATATTGTTCAATATTATGATCCCTCTAGTTAAAATGTCAGGGAAAGGGGGTCAAGAGTAGTAAGTTCATGGCCAAAATGAGATTGAATCAGAGACTTCCTAATATGTAGCTCAGTCTCTTAGGTACTACATGACACCAACTCTCAGTAAACAAGCCACTGAATCAATTCAAGATGACAAAATATTAAATAAACAACATTTATGTTCAGGACAGTTAAGCGTCTACAGAATAAAAAAATAAAGTGCAAGAGATTTTTTAAAAGTCATTCATTAATATGGCAGGCATAAAAATATTTCATGTTAGTGCATGGGACTTATGACTTCAGAGCCTTTAAGGTGTAATCACCTTATGTTTAGGTCCATTACACTATATTATTATTATTATTATTATTATTATTATTATTATTATTACCACCACCACAATCAAATTTATTGGTCACTTTTTTGCCACAGGCACTCAGCAAATTCAGTTTTTTAAAATCTAATTTTTACTTAACTCAACATTCACAATAAAATGGTTTCTTTATTTTGGAAATAAACATATATTACAACTTATAGTTTCAATACATACTTACTAAGTCCTGTTGAACATACTGGAACATCTAAGGAAACATGCACAGGATTGCACTGCACATGTTCAAAGGCACTATAATACAGTGTGAAACACCTTTCAAATTCATGCTTTAAACCAGAACCAGTTTTGAACCATATGGCACAAAATTATATGAAACGCAAAATACCAGATTAAATTATCTATGACAGTACTGATTTCAAATTTACTATTACACAAGCATAACAGATATTAATAAACTATTAATTTAAATTTGATCATATTATGATGGCTAACTGTCTTCTCAGCAACCAGGATAAAAACTGCTTACAGTCTAGAATTATTGCTGGCAAAATAAATGTTATACTCAAATCTTTCTCCAGTGTAAGAAGAATTGTCAAGGACACCTATTTTGACAGGACATACTGCACTACACATATCCAAAAAGGCAAGAAAAGTACCTATTTGTGAGGTGTAATGCTGAATGGCACTTAAGAATTTAAGAAAACGCTTATAGATGCTTAGGACTTAGCTGTTGGGCATTTGTTTAGAAATAAAATTACTTATTTTTTTTTAAAAGAGCCACCTTCTACTCTGCTTTCCAGGAACTTGTCCAGCTCTGCTTCTCTCTTCACTGCCTCTGGTAATACCTTTGGTGCATTTGGGAAACAGATCAATATCACACTCATGTTGTCTCGGCTTCCCTGGAGTGGGAGAGGTGGAGAAAAAGAAAAGAGTTTGATGAAGTTCTATTTTCCAGCATAATATTCTGACAACTTTCTTTACATTAATACAAGAAAATGCTAATGATCATAACTTTCACCAATTTCTTACTCCAACACTGAATGTAAGCAAGTATCTATTTGCTTCTATAACTCTTGTTCAACAAAGTCACTTTGTTCAAAGCTTACATGAGTTATTCTGGCTCCCCTTTTGGCAAAATACACAACAAATAATAACACAACAAAGCACAATGAGTGATAATATTAAAGGCATAGTCTCCAACTTCTTGCATACTTTTTATGAAAGTGAAGGTTAATGAAACAAATGAGGAATGAGAGTAGTTTAGCTAACCTACAAAATAGAAGACGAAAAACAGTTTTTCAATAAAAGGCCTATTTGGCCTAAACTAGATACAACAGCTATTGCATGTATCTTTTGACCTGCTGCCACCAAACCTCCATGATACTAATTTTAAGAAAAGTGTGGTGGTGGAGAAATATTAGTAAGTAAAGTTAGAGCTGATGTCCAATTTGGCTATGTGAGATCATTAGCTTAAAATAATTTACCAATGCACATGTTTTTCTCCAAAGAATGTGGAAATCTGCCTTATATAATCAGATGATTGGTCCATCTCGCCTAGTATGGTTCACACTGACTGGCAGCAGCTTTCCAGGTTTTCAGACAGGAGACTTTTCCAGCCCTACCTGGAGATGCTGAGGATTGAACCTTGGACCTCTGGATTGCAAAATGTTAACTGCCAATGAACTACAGTCTTTTCCCTACATACAAAATCCAGCAACCTAGTAGCAAAGCTAGTTACATTTAAGCATGTATGTACAATATTGGTCCCAGAGAGTCAAAAGCCAGCTAAAATTGTGAATGACAAGGTACCACTTTCAACACCAGCTGTATCCATCGTTTGCCAACACTACAACTAACCATACACATTTCAATATATCCCACATAAAACTTCTGGCTACCTTATACAAGCAGGTGTCGACTATCTCATTGCAAACTCTTTCAAGGTCATCAGTGACTTCAAGCCTTGATCTGACAAATTCACACAGCTCTTCATTTCCCATAACATCCCAGATGCCATCGCAGGCCAGTATGATGAACTGATCATCATCTTCTGATCTCTCAATTTCATAAACTTCGGGCTCAGGTGAGACAAGCTGCTCTGTAGGGCCTTTCCCATGGACACATTTGTAATCAAAGTCTCCAAGTGCTCTAGACACAGCCAGGGAGCCATTCACACGCTGAATCATGACTGAACCACCTGCATTCTGTATACGTTCCTTCTCCAGTGGATTATTTGGTTTGTGATCTTGCGTAAAGAAATAAACCTTTCTGTTTCTACAAAGTAATCCTCTAGAATCTCCACAGTTGATAAAATAAGTGTGCTGAGGAGAAATGAGGACTCCCACAGCTGTTGACCCGCTTCTGTCCGCACCATGCTTCTTCTCAGAAAGTAGCCTCATTTGTTCATCAATTTGCAGAAAACCTGTTCTGATTCCTGTCTTTACACTCTCCACGGATGGCGAAGCTCCACGGCCTTTAAAATCATGATTGCTTGTGATGTGATCTAATAAATGCTCGCAGCAGTATTTGGCAACTTGGGATCCAGCGTGTCCATCATACACAGCAAAAAAAGACCACCCGTCAAGTCCATTTGGTAAGCCAATTACAGCTGTATGCGCATCCTCCATCTCAACTCGCCAACCTTGCATGCTACTTAGCCCATAACGTAGTCCATTGCCCTGCCCTTGGGCATTGTGCTTCTCCATCTTTGGCTTATCTAAAAATGCTCCCATGATGTCTTGTCCTTTAAGATCTGCAGAGACAAAAAGATCTGCTGTTAAGCTATTTTTAAGACAGTTAGCAGTTTAATCATATGCTGAACATGTTGCTTAAAGAAAACACGAACCTGAACTGCAGTGCTTACTGTACAAAACAGACAGAATATGTTTAATTAACAGGGATCTGAACTGTTCAGCTTGTGGCTTTGTGAACTTCACTCTTGGGAATAGTTTGTGTATTATTATAAATATTTAAATTGTTACTATGCAAGAGAATGGCTTGCGCTTTATTAATGTGGCTTTTATCAAAACATCTGCAGTAAGTGTAAATAAATCAAACCACAGCTCAGACTCTTAAGAAATAAACAAAGTTCAGTGGATTCTTGGTTGCACTGTACAGTAATATTTTCAGTCACCCATTTGTATACCAACACATCAAACCCAGATTTAACTAGACCCATCTTGTCATGCACTTGGCCTGTAACCGTCATGGAAGCTACCTGGAATGGAACATCCCCAACTGGAAAGCAAAGTGTGTGTGTTTGTGGTTTTGTGTTTGTGTGTGTGTGTGTGTGTGTGTGTATTTATATATATATGTGTGTGTGTGTGTGTGTGTGTGTGACTATACTGGACCAAAATCAATTCACTGGTTTCAAGACTGTTACATTTTGCCCTGTTCCGAGATTTTTAATGAAAGACACGCTATAAGACCCCTAAATAAATGAATAAATCCATTTATTGCCCATCTATGGTGAAAAGTAATCTGTAAATCTATTTTAAAAAGAATGTATCTTATTCTTAACACATAAAGAAGTCTTTAAGCAATCATACAAATTCCACATTATATACAACACCCTAAAGTGCTATAGTGAAATAAAAGTATCCAACTATGTTTCAGTCATCTGCAAATGGGGATGTGCATACAATTTCAACTAACAACTGTACTGGATTGCTTTGTTTTGTTTTGTTTTTATAATTATTTTTATTAAGTTTTAACAATGAAAAAAAATTCAAGAAGATATACAAAAACCAAAACGATACAAAGTCATAAAATACAGTACAAAAATACGAACATTAGGCACAACAAAAGAAAAAAGAAAAAAAAGAAAAAAAGGAAGATAGAAACACATATAATGACAAAAAACAAAAATTCCCTCTTTCTTAATTTCTCCTCTTCAATTAACTTATTTTCCCGACTTCCTCACGTCTCCCTTTCTTGTATCCCTTTTAGTAGTTAGTTCAGCAAATTCATATCCTATTTATTTATCTGTTATTGATACAAACTTACATTTTACTTTGTTGCTAGAACCTGTACTGGATTGCTTTGAAGCCTCTAAAATATTCTGAGTAAAGTTCACACCTTTTAGAAAAGTAAGAGTTTCGTACAAGATGGCAAAATCTGTAGCTCTCCCCTCAGAAAAAAACCCCTGAATGTAATGCATCAAATATTCAATCAAACATCTGCAAAGCCACAATATACAGTACACTGTATTCAGCCTTAAGATCGTATGTTGTGCATGCCTGGCATGGCATGGTCTCCCACACGGTGGAATATGAATGATCTTCGGATTTAACCATTCTATATGGATTTCAGGCCAGCTGTCTACACAATTAGGAAGTAACCCTGCTTGCTGGACAGAGGTAAGAACCAGAGGAATAACTGGCCACAGACCTGGGTTTGGGGATGAGAACATAGAAAAGCCCTGCTAGAGCAGAGCAAAGGCCTGTCTAGTCCAGCATCCTATTCTCACAGTGGCTAACCAGTTGTGTATATAAAGCCTTTATTGCAACAGGAAACACTGGCTGTAGCACAGTGAGGGTAATTAAGGGACACTATTGTCATACAGATGGAAGAACAGGAAATAGAAGAGAGAGATGAAGCAGAAATCTCTGGGGACAACAGGTTTAGACAGGGGAAAGAACAAGTACAAGAGCAGGAAATGCTGCCTGAATATGCTGTTTCATGCGTCTTTTTTATTATTATTCCTGCATTAGATAGCAGAGTGATTCTATTTGAAGAATCTTTTGTAAGCAGCTTTGAAGAGCTTCTCAGGGCTACAAAGCAGGATGTAACTATTCTGAATAATGAATATATAATAACAGCAAAATACATGAGACTCTTAAGACCTGAATTTATCTATTCTGAATTGTGGAGCAAAAAAGTATGTAATTGCTCACAGACTGTTGAAGAATTAATAATAAATAATAATAATAATAATAATAATAATAATACCCCGCCCATCTGGCTGGGGCGCGGGTGGCGCTGTGGGTAAAAGCCTCAGCGCCTAGGGCTTGCGGATCGAAAGGTCGGCGGTTCGAATCCCCGCGGCAGGGTGCGCTCCTGTCGTTCGGTCCCAGCGTCTGCCAACCTAGCAGTTCGAAAGCACCCCCGGGTGTAAGTAGATAAATAGGGACCGCTTACTGGCGGGGAGGTAAACGGCGTTTCCGTGTGCTGCGCTGGCTCGCCAGATGCAGCTTTGTCACGCTGGCCACGTGACCTGGAAGTGTCTCCAGACAGCGCTGGCCCCCGGCCTCTTGAGTGAGATGGGCGCACAACCCTAGAGTCTGTCAAGACTGGCCCGTACAGGCAGGGGTATCTTTACCTTTATCTGGCTGGGTAAAAGATTTTTGATAGGTACTTATCAAGACCCCTTTCTTTTATACCCCTCTCCTTTTTAAGGAGTCAGAAAACATATTTTTAATCCCTAAGAATCAAGCCTAGACAAGGCTGATAGAGCATCAGAAATTGCAGATTTTTTGGAGATGCACAAGCTACCAAGCCTAACACTTCACTGTCCAGAGACAAGACTGCAACTTCCAAGCAAAGCATTCACTCAGTATTCCCTCATATCAACTCTTTCTCATTCCCAAGATTGAAACATGGCTCCATAACTAGATTTTGTATATCATAGCCAGGAACATGAGCTGTGAACAGTCTCAGTTGAATTATCACCTACCTTAGAAAAGTTTTAAGCATTACCAAAATATGAGAAGAGCAATGACTACTTGAAGGAAACCATATAAACATTCATATAACCACAGAACACAAAGGGAAATCTTATAAAAATATGCCTCAACCCCTTATTAGCTAATATATTTATCTGTCTTTTAGCTAAACAATTATGTTGAAACTGTCATTGCATTGCCATTGACTTCCTTCCCAAAAGTGGTTATCATGTGAATGCAATTCCTCCAAATATAAGGGCTGGGATGCAGGTCAAATAATACATGAAGTCAGGAATGCATACATGGCAGTCTCTTTTTATATCATCATGGGATTATTCAAGGCCTTGTGTTTCACAGACCTGCAAGACTCAGGGAGAAAGTCAGGTCTGTGCATACACAAGCCCACACACTACTCATTTTGCAATAGGCATCCTGTAATTCTTGGGTGAATCTGCTCTGCTCCCCTGCCCCAAATCACTTACATGTCCTAGTTTCTCCTATGGGTTACACACTGTACTTATATGTATCCTTATGAATGATTATGAGGTTCAAGTGGAAACATGAGGCAAACACATAAATGGTCAACACAATGGCACAATTCACTTGTTTCCAGGAGTCACAACTACAACCAAGTCCACTGCATATATTTTATGAAAGAGGGGCTTCCATCTGATCTGGTATGGTGTGGTGTTCAGAAAAGAATGGCATCCAGAGATTTATTTGCAGGATTTTCTCTAACACTTCAATAAATGTTTCTAGTTTACAGGAGATGAGTTAGTTGCTGCACTCCTCAGGGTGACTATTCTCCAGTCTTGGGGCCAAAAATATTTGAATTAGCAAAATATGGTTTACACTTGCCATGCAAACGAAGTGTGTAAACAAGAATCTGACCTGGTCTGCAGGGCAAACAAACCACACCTTGCTGTTCAGATTTAACAGAAAACTATGATTTCCTACAAACCAAGAAGCAGCAAATGAAGTGGAACATTGAGGAGTATCCGTTTGTGTGAGCAGAGGGGCCTGTTCCAATTAACACAAGGATGGGAATCTTTCCTCCTGGGATGGCTGCATCCGTTCAGGCATAAAATGTGTCAGGGGCCACATACCAGTGATGAAAGGGAGTGCCACTCCGCAGCCACACACCCCATTCCATCAAGTCATGCTCACATGCAAGCACACCCATTCATTCATTCTCTTTCACACATACCATCTATTCAATTCACACACAAGCCCCTCACTACAATTTGCACTGAGAAATAGGCTCCTATTTGTTCCAATGGATCCCCACCCCCAACAAGCAGGGGGTTGATCCAGATAGAAACGTTTTCTGGGGGAGTGTAAGAGGGACTTTTATCTTTTGCCCCTTGCTATGGCACAATGTAATCCAACATGGTCCCAACATTCACTCCAATGGATCATTTCTTGACAAAGCAAACTGCAAATACCAATCCTGATCAAAGCCACATCAAGGTGCATAGAGTTAAAGCCCCGCTACATCCCCATGCCAGAGTCCTAATCCAAATTGGCCCACTGTGCTCAGTATTTGCTACTTTTCTGTTGCTGGCTGAGGATGAAAAGAGAGCAGTAGGGATCTCAAGGAGCAGAACCACTGTCAGGCACTATACATACTGTCTCCACAGTATATTGCTTTTTATCTTCAACAATATTTTTTCATATTTTATCATAGGTTTTTGAACTTTGTGTATCTAATAGATTGTATAGTAGTGATCCCCTACTATCATGTTTTGTTATATATTGGGGTCAGTTATTCTGCATGTAAGTTAGTATGAACATTATATATTATCACCAGCTAAACCAGGGCGGCCCAACTTTTCAAACCAAGTGGTTGCAAGAGTACTTCGGCATGGAACCTGGAGGTTGCACACAACTTGTTTTTTTGGGGGGAGGCCGAAATCTGACGGCCCCCCAAGCCCTCACGCTGCCTTCCGAAGTATAGCTACAGTAATTGAAATGCCGTTCTTTGGGAATGATGTGCAAGGCTCTGGCAGGTTCTTAGAGCCCTCCAACCTCCTTCCAAAAGCTGGAAAAGTGCTAACTAGGCTTTGGAGAGGTGGGACAACTCTAGGAC